TTTCCCCCTTCAGATGTTGTAGTAACATTGTACTTTAAAGAAATTAAATGCTATTATATAGGCAAGCTGTGCTCTAACTCTCTGCAACCACTATGTTTTAAAGTCTAAAATAAACCCCAGTATTTCTTCCCGAGACCTCAGGATGGAAGATGCTGCTGCCACCAGAGGGACTCAGAAATACGACGGTAGGAGCATTTCTGCATCCTGAAGCGGCCAAACTTCCCGGCGAAGGCATCTGACTCTCAGGGGCTGCCTTCGGGATTTCTCAGGTGCTGTGTTATGCGATCCCACGGCTCGGGGGCTGGCATGGATGTGACATTTATGCACTTTCTCCTCTCATCATGCAGACAGGGGAACAGCCTATGTACTTGGTTATCCTGCCTGTGCTCCTCGGTTAAATGCAACTGGGTAATAATACTTCGTGAGGTACAAAGTGCTCATAAAACCACCTCTATTTCACTGGCTTCCCCGGTATTCAATCATTCACTAAGCACCAAGAATTACTGCTAAAATAGGAGTTAAAATGTTAATGATTTGCTCACACTCCTGATTCAATTGGAACATGGGGCTTTTGAGCACTTACTGCAAATTTGATTTCAAAGAGTGAGGAGAAAGATGATTAAAAAAATGTGTGATTCAAGGTGAAGTCTTCAAAAATTCAGTAATGTTCAAATGGATTCTCCTGTGTCTGGGGGAAGCAACCATTCTCACTTGTCCCACAAATACCCAGCACTTTCTCCTTTCAAGCGAAAAGAGGAAAAATTGCCATTGCTGCTGTAGCTACTACCTTAGATTAAAGGAAGGAAAGAGCACGCCGGATAAAACTGCATTTCTTTCACAGTCTGGGTTGGTTTGTTGGTTTTGGTTTTGGTTTTTTTTTGGTCATAAAAGCGTAAGCCCTAAAGGGTGTTGGAAAAGATTCTCTAGTGATTAAACTATTTTCTTTCCTGTAAAGCATGTATGAAATTTTGCAGTGACAACCTCTGCCCCAATAACAAAAATACTGTTGCCTTCCCCAAAATTACCATTTTCCGTTTTACTAAAGAATTAGCTGTGTCACTAATCCTGCAGCAAAATTTTATTTATAATAAAAGAACCCAACTAAAAGCCACAGGATTACAATGATTTGGGTATGATAAACGATCCCAGGGTACACATAGCTTGCCTTCTTGGAATGTAGGAGAATAGCCAAAGTAAAATTGTTTTCAAGGAAATCACATTTTGCTCAGTTACAGCCCGACTCACTTTCCTGTTGCTACTTCAGTCCTGGCCTGAGATGCTTCAGATCTACCGTAAGTGGCAGGATATGTAGAGTTTGCAAACTCCCATCATCTGGATTCTGGTTTATCTCAATTTTCATACACTTTTGCAGCCTCTGTGGTTGTGGAGAAAAGATGTGGCTTTAATCACATGATTTTGGGAGTTCTGCTTCATTCTTTTTAGCACTGGGGACAGGTGATACCTCGCCCTCTCACAGAAAATAGCCAGAGCTGCTTTACAGCAGTTTTGCATGTCCTGCATGGACTGCAGAGAGATGTGCTTATGAATACCGAGATCCCACCAAACCAAAACCAACACCCTTCCCAACATATTCTGGGTCAGCTGCAGGCAAAGCTACCCTGTATGGGTAACTTAAAGGTTGTGTCAGCCCCGGACAGGACTTGTGCTATAGACAGGCTGCAGCAATCCCCTTCCAAAGCTAACTACCAGGTTCATTTGCTTTTGTTGTTGAAGGGAGATATATGAAGGCTGTCTCCTCATTTCCAAAACATGAGCACACCCAGAAGAGTCGAGGCTTGCCCAATTATAGACGCGAGGAACTTGGTTAAGACATCTGCTCTTGCAGGATATTTATGAAGTAGGTCAAACCTTCTGACTTTTGGCAGTTTACCTGGTCCAATGGGACAATAAGAGGGATGTTTATGTAATTCATCTTTTAAACTGAGCTCTGATCCCTGGGAGGATGAGAGGCTCCTGAGGAGCCATGTTTGCACAGGTCTGCACCATGTCAGCTTCCTGCGCTGCTGAAGAGCCGTCATTCACCATGCACAGCAGCATCTTCTGGTGTGTTAAACAGGCTCTGCCCCAGTAATATGCTTTGTGGGTGTCATCAAACCGACTGGTTCTCTCCTTAGGGTAACCTCGTATGGGCTTACCAGAGCCTGATGGGAGAGAGGAGCAGTGCTGGGATGGGACTGTATGAACCACAGGCTGGCTGAAAAACCTGAGGAGTGACAAATGTCCAATATTTCACACTTCATCTGGATGCTCCTCTATCAACCCTTTGATGTTTAATGCTCTGAAGATGCAGCACAGAAAGCACATCTCCCCCACCATTCGTGACATTAAGCAGAGCAGCAGAATCCCTTCTGGGGACTGATGGGGTGTCTCAGGAAGCGCACTCCAAATCAAACCCTTCTGTTTGCTTATTCCCACATTAGGTAATGAGTGTAGATCTCATTTGCTCTCCATTTTCATCCCCTTTTTTCTAGGCACAATGCCTTCTCAGCTTCCCCTTCTTATTAATCACTATGTTTTTAGACTGGCTTTAGATGTTTTAATGTTTGGGGTTTTTTTTTAATGCAGAAAGTGTATTCCCTAATACTCTTTTTGATACTTATACAGGTCTTTCATCATCTGCTTCCCCTTACATACCTGTTGATAGATACACACTATGCCTTGCAACTATTTCAGATGTGGTAATCATCCATCCTATAGCAGCCTCGTAACACCGTGGGGTGTAACTGGCCTTCCAAGGACCTTCTGTTTGGAAATCAAGACACACCAGCACTGTGTCAAAATCAGGATCCAAACCAGGGTGAGTTTTTCTTTCTATAGCCATAAGGAAATACTTTTTTTTTTTTTTTTTTTTTTTTTTTTTTTTTTTTTTTTCCTCAGAGGCGGGCAAATGGCATGTGCAACACCTGGAAGGGATGCAGCCCTGCTTGCTCTGCCAGGGTGCCTGTCTGGCTGCACCATTATGCTCCCCAAGAGCAGGATGGCACAGCACACCTTGCAGATGACGCATGAACTCCAGCCTTCCCACACCACCTTTTGAGTTATCATTGCTATTTTTATATAGGAGTGACTTCCAGCCTCGGAAATGGGAAGCAAAGGAAAAGTAAAACAATGACTTCAGAATTAATAATTTAAAAAAAAAATTAATTCCTGAAAAGTTGTTTCTAAAACCTGTTGAAGCTCACTGTCCATGCCAATTCCCAACATGAACTGTGTGTTGGTCCCCTATGCATAATGGGCAGCGTTAGGTCTATTTATAATGCTCAGCTTGGTAGCCTACACAACACTGGTACATGACAAAGTGATCACCAGTGTTTTGAAGACAGACCTGTCATTTAGAGTAATACCAGCAAGGCGAGTTACTTATTCCCCTCTCCCTGAAAAGCACCCCAACAACTGCATCTGTCAGATGACTGCCTCACTCCCGGCACAGGAACCTGCTTCCCCGGTCTTCATCCAACATGTGCCCTGAAGAGTTTATTTTTCTGCTGTTGAGTGCATAAAATCCAGGGTGTTGCTGTGCTGTGTTTTCTGCTCCCAATCCTTGGCTGCAGTGTTGGCACTCCATGTCTCTGCTTTAACACAAACATACCCTAAAGTTTGGTGTGTGACACGAGAGGATCCTCAAGGACACCCTGTTAGGAACCCCTAACAGTGCAGGGCTGGAGTGGGGCTCCTCTCAAACAGATGGGGCCAGAGTGTGCCATACAAAAGTGAAACGGCTGTTCCTTCTGCCTGCTGTGTCAGAAGTCCCTGGGCATCACCAGCTGCTGGCAATCGTTTATGCAACTTATAAGTTAATAATAAATTGCATCGTTAATGCAACTTATCCCCAGAGTCTGTCCCAGACCAGGAAAGAGGAATATTGAACTCAACTTCATCCCCACATGCAAGAGCTCTGCAGAGGCTGGGAACGGCAGCCTCTCCCCGGGTGAATACACCCCCCTGAGCTAGGTGAAGAGACCATGAGAGGGGAAACCTGATGATGGTCCACTTTGCAATCATCATTTATTTTAGAAACTGAGGTTTTACAATTGTTTAGTTGCTTACAGGCATCTCTAGTATCTGTGGTGAAGGTTTACTACAAGACACCAAATGGGGAGAAAATGAGAAGAATACATTGAGACAAAATGCTTTTGATGAAATGTCATAAATAAATTAGAACCTTTTATGATGAGTCTCATGATATAGGATTCAGTCATTTTTCTTAGAGCCTCAGGTCTTTGAGTGATAGGGTTCTAGAACATTTTTTTTTTCTTTCTTTACAAGGTAAATTTTCAGTTTTTCAAGCCCTGTTGACTGTTGAGAAAGGGACCAACTTAAAAAAACCAATCAGTGGCACATTCAAACTACCTCAGGTAGAAACCTTAAAAGAACTACAAGCTTTTTTTAGATAATCCTGTGGTTTCTGACAGCTTACCTTGTGGTTTTTGAATGCTTGGAGTTTGAAGTGCTGCTGCAATGAATTTTAAAATAGAGACTTTAAGCTTGATGAAACTGTAGTGCACTGTAATGTAACAGGAAATAGAAAAAGGGACTTAAATGTCTCTTTACGAACACTAGGAACAGATAACGGTAATATATAGGGCAAACCCGAGGTTTGCAGCTAAATTAAGCAGTACCAGGGCAATTTCAGATTTTTACAGATTTAACCCAGCTGTAGCCTGAGGATAAGCACTGAGAAACCACACAGAGAAACGATGCAGAGCTGGAGCTGGGCAAAACTCAGCAAACCGTGAAAAGAGTGTGCGGCAGAACTGAACAAAGTATCCATCTCATCTTCTGCACCCAAAACCCCGAAGGATTTGTCCTGGCTGGCTGCTGGCTCCTGGCAGGAGCCCACCGACAGCCCTAAGCCGGACAGAAATTCAAACGCATCTCACAGAGTACTTGGGTTCACACAACTTCTTGTCCCTAACTAGAGTGACCACCAGAAATGAGTTTTTAGGACCCTGCAGGGCTAAGGGGTCCCAAAGCCCTACCTTGGCCAGACGCTCTTCTGGTCCTGGTGTCTCTGGAGCGCCTCCTCTTCCTCACTTGTCCTTCAGCGTGGCCATGCCCAGGGCCTCTGAGCTGTAGTCGTACTGGTTGCTGGAGGACGTGGACCGTCCCCAGGAGCACTGCAGGTTGGAGCCCCTCTTTCGAAAGGAGGATGTGAACCTGTAGAAGTTGCGGTGCCTGTTGCGCAGGTATTCCCGGTAGTTTTTGGTGAGCAGGGTGTAGAGGAAGGGGTTGATGCAGCTGTTGCTGTAGGTCAGGCAGGTCACCAGGTAGTTAATGCACTTTTGGGTTTGGGTGGTGAGCTGCAGGGGGCTGCTGTAGAGTCGCACCAGCTGCCAGATCCAGAACGGCAGGAAGCAGGCCCAGAAGACCAGCACGATGCTGAAAATCATGATGAGGACCTTCTGCCGGGGGGATCTCTTGCTCTTCTCCTTGTGGGGGGGGTTCCTCTGGGACTCCAGGTAGGTCCGGGCCAGGCGTGTGTAGAGGCAGCCAATGATGATTCCTGGGGCCATGATGCTGGTGCTGAAGAGCACCGTCAGGTAGGTCCGGTAGGCGTCCGTGCCCCAGGTGGGTGCACATATCCGCTTCACCTTGCCCTCGATCTTGACCCCGTCGGTCAGGGTGACCATCAGCATCATGGGCAGCGTAAGGAGCAGCGAGACCGACCAGACGGCCCCCGCCGTGACCTTCCGGTAGCCTTGCGACCGCTTCAGGGTGTCCAGGGGCCGGGTGATGGCCAGGTAGCGCTCCGTGCACATGAGGGTGAGGGTGAAGATGCTGGCGTGCATGGTGAGCAGGTCCAGGCTGAACAGGATGCGGCACCCCAGGTCCCCGAAGTACCAGTCCTGGGCCAGGTAGGTGCAGACGATGAAGGGGATGGTGGAGAGGTAGAGCAGGTCGGCCAGGGCCAGGCTGACGATGGAGCTGTACATGGGGGCAGCGCACCGCGCCGAGTGGCACATCACCACCAGCGTGTACACGTTGCCCGCCACCCCGGCCACGTACATCACCGACAGCACCGTCCCGAAGGCCGAGGGGATGAGCAGGGGGCCGCCCCCGGGGGGGCCGCCG